CTGACAGTGACCAGAGGGGAGGGGGAAGGGAGATAACAGGGGAAAGAAAGGGAAGGGGCAAGGGAAGGAACAGGAATAGAGGACTCATGGGCACAGACAATGGGGGCAATTGACTGTGGGAGTCGGGGGCACAGGGTCGGGGTGAGCAATGGGGAAAAAGGCAGGACAGATGTGACTGAACAATAAAAAAATTTTTTAAATGAATTGTTTCTATAAATATGGAGCATTTTGAAAAAACAAGTCAATAAAAACATATTTCTGTGTTAAAATGTGAATAAGAATCAAATAAGATGGGCTAAAATATCTAGACAGATCCTACCTACAGATTGTTTGATAAATGTCTTTACCTCTGATTCTCTTTGAAAAAGTTTAAACTGATTATCTTAGAAAACACTTTGTAGATATAAGATTATTCCAGAACAAGGAGGTAGAACTGCAGTTGGTGAAACCAATAAAAAAGGAGTATCTGTGGCCCTATATCAAAAGAGTAGGGAATTAATGTACATTTATATTGTTTTTAATTATATATATTCTCATGCACACATTTTCATTTTTCAGTCATCTAAGAGTTAAATTGAAGACATAAGGTTTATTTTCTCCCAAATAGTTCCTTTAAAAGAGGCAAATATTTACTGCTTGAGTTTTCTATTTATTTTTATTTTTTTAATTGGTATTCAAGTACAGTTATCTCCATTTTCACCCCACCACAGCCCCCTGCCCCCCCACCTCCCACCGTCAAACCTACCCCATTTGGCTTTGTCCATGTGTCCTTTATACATGTTCTTAATAGACCTTCACCTATTTTCCCTCATTATCCCACTCTCCCCTCCCCTCTCTTTTATAACCACAGTACAATTATGAAAATCAGAAGAAAATTTACAAAATCAGATTAAGGTGGGTACAATATTCTTATTTAATCTACAAACCTTAATTATATTTTGCTAATTTCCTCTATAGCAAAAGAAAATCCCAGACCATGCATTGCTTTGTTCATTTGGTTAATGTCTACCAGGTTTCTCTACTATGTAAATTCATGACTTTTCCTTTTGTACTTAAGTAATTTGTGGAAAGATACACTGAGGATATGTAAATATTCTTTACTCCCACCCCAACTGTCACCTGGTCTACTATGCAATATCATTTTATTTAATTGCCATGACTTTTTAGTCTCATTTAATCCAAAATAGTTGTGCTCTTCTTCTTTGTTTTTGAATAGAGTAGTATTTTTGAAGAGTGCATGGCAGTTATTTTGTAAAATGCCTCTGAATTTTGGTTTTTCTAATGTTTTATAATAGTTAACATTCAATTATTAGTACATGCTATGATTTTGAAAGTCCAATCCATTTAATTAAAAAAGGCTTTTTCCAATAAAAGTGTACATTTTATTTTTCATAAATACCACCATTTCATTGTGATTATGAATACTTTGTTGCACATTAAAAATTGTAATAATAAATCTAGAAAAATTAGACTTGACATTTTAGAAATTATTGTCAATACATTAAATCAGGGGAGAAGGATATCAATTTGTTCCATTTTTTATAAGATTCACTTTGATCCTTTGGTTAAGGCATCTGTGTATTCCAAGAATCTAAAAGCAATGACACCCTAGAAGCAATAAATTCACTAAGTGCTGAGATCTTGGTTTCTAAGTACCATTCTCTACAAAGAGAACCAGGGCTCCTTAGATAAATAGCAGATTCCAGGCTGAAGAAGAAAAGTCTGTAACTTTTTTAAATTTCCATTTAAATTGTTGTTTAATGTTAATTTTTAATTCTAGATGACAAAAAACCTTGTAGAGTTAGTTTTGATTATACTTTTACTACTGCAATAGCAACCAAAACAACAAAATTATATTGAAATGCTGGTGTATAATTATTAGATGTAAAAAATACTATTTTACTGAAAAAGCATTTTATTAAATTATACTTTTACAGTTACAATTAATGTTATTTATTTCTATAATTTATAAAATTCAGCATAAATTCCATCATAATTTTTATGGATACAGAAACTGAGAAATCTTGTTCAAATAAATAATAGAAATGTAGAAATAGGAAGGGAGAAAGTTTTGTTACAGCAATGACATATGATTTGTTGAACTCTCTTTGAGTTATGTGCCCAAAATTATATAATGAGCTATCGGCAATAATTGTTAATATTGAGGCAGGTGCAGGATGGAGGGGGATAAAGGGGAGAAAAAATGGGACAACTGCAATAGTATAATCAGTAACGTATACTAAAATAATAAAATATTTTCTGGAGCAAGGTGGGCATAATATACAAACTTTCAGTTATTATAAGATATATATGCCCTAAAGATGTAACATACCTGATGAATATTATTAACACTGATATATAATATGCAATATATAAAGTTGTTAAAAGAGTAAATCCTGCCCTGGCTAGTGTAGCTCAGTGGATTGAGCGCAGGCTGCGAACCAAAGTGTCACAGGTTCGATTCCCAGTCAGGGTACATGCCTGGGTTGCAGGCCATGACCCCCAGCAACCACACATTGATGTTTCTCTCTCTCTTTCTCCCTCCCTTCCCTCTCTAAAAATAAGTAAATAAAATCTTTAAAAAAATCTTTAAAGAGAAATTTGGAAAGAAATATTTAAAAGAAGAAATATTTTTTTTAAAAAAAAGAGTAAATCCTAAGGGTTCTCATTATAAGGAAAAATTTTTCTTTTTGTTTTAAAACGTTCCAACGTCCTGACCTACATGAGATGACGCATACTAACTAAATTTATTGTGGCAACTAGTCCACAGTATATGCAATTTGAATCATTATTCTTTACACCTTAAATTTATATAGTTAAGTATGTAAATTATGTCCCAATAAAACTGGAAAATAATAACTAAAATAAAAATATTTCCTGGATTATGTTAGAGGAAAATAATTGCTTTTTGAATAAAGATTTTATTATTTTGTGCAATCTATCACTACACAATAACATTTACAAATTTGTTCTGATGATTGTAAAATATATATTCTGTTAAGTTTATAAGAAATATGTATCTTTATTAAGAGCATATAACCTTTGTCAAAATTTATTTAAAAGGAATACATAAGGTAATAATTGTAGTGAATTAGATAGACTGACATCACATTAATTGTCTAGTCTTCTGTTGCAGTTCATGGAGAATAGACATCAACACCTATCACACTTTGTGACAGAGCGCCAGGACTCTCTTGGTTTCAAATTCTTCCACTACTATTTTTGTATTTCTAGAATGTTGTTCAACCTTCATATCTAATTTTTTTTCTTTTAAAACCTCAGAGTGCAATGTCTTCAGACTATTATAAGATTTTGGTCTTTATTAACTAATATTGTCCCTTTTCTTAGACTATTTTCCCTTAATTTTCTGGCACATTAAGTATAAATTTGAGTTACACATTTGCAAGCTCATCATTTGCACTGAACATATAAAATGCAGAAGTTGTCATTATATGGTACATGATGGTTGTGTACAAATAGTTCATTAGAGGCAGTTTATTGACTAATAGTTGGTTTTTATTTCACCATAGTCTGATTTTTTTCTCAATTCTAGTCATTGGACTTCTGCTTTCATGTCTTATGACAGATAACCTTTGTCATGTATGATTTCCAGTCATTTGTTCCATATGGTCTACTTATGCTTTACTTACCATCCTGATTATTCCTCTAAATCAATGAATGCTTCAAGACTGGGTGGTCTTGTCTTCTAATACATATTATGAATCAGAAGCAAGATATTCTTTTTATATTGTTTTACCACCAGCCAGGTGCTGGATATCTTCCTCTTTACTCCAATAATTACTATGACTAAGTTACTTAATATCACAACATTATGGTTCACAATTGGCCTTGATTATTCCCTTATTAATTTTAAATTGTTTTTCTATACCAGGTAACATTATAAATTCCCCTATACATTTATGATACCCCTGAAAATTATAATTTTCTTAGTCTTTTATTTGCTCTTAAGCTAATCAAATGCAACCACACTCTTTGTATACAACTGCTATTGAATACATGTTGTGGATAATGACACATTTCTTTCTCCTTTTTCTCAAACTTTTTCTGCTCTTTCTCCATGTCTCTTGAAATGTAAAGTCTTTGCTCTTAATCTGGACTCTGATTTTATGCCTTATAGCTTAGATTTCATGTTAGTACTTGACATCCTCATCATTTGACTTTTGAGTTTTTAAATGTTCTTCAGCATAGATTGGCAGCTCCAGCTTTTTCCATTTAAGAGATCTTGTGAGAAAGAAGTTTATATTCACAATTTGCTTTTCCTCTCACCCAACAAAACTCAGTACAATATAGTTTCTACTCCATAGTTTATATTTTTGCATTTAGTTAACAATAACCTACCTGGTGGTATCTGGAAAGAGCTAGAAAAACATATATGAACATAATATCTAAGAGACCAATATGTTTGGTCTCAAGATATTAAGACTGCCCAGATTTTTTTCTAGTGCTTTTAAGTACATTTCCAGTTCCACAGTCATTAGAGTCCATTAAAATGAAATAAAAGTTTTGAACAATGTGTTGAAGTTCAATATCTTTTTTTTTAAGATTTTATTTATTTATTTTTAGAGAGGGAAGGGAGGGGGAGGGGGGAGAGGGAGAGAGAGAGAGAAACATCAATGTGCGGTTGCTGGGGGTTATGGCCTGCAACCCAGGAATGTACCCTGGCTGGGAATCGAACCTGGAACACTTTGGTTCGCAGCCTGCGCTCAATCCACTGAGCTACACCAGCCAGGGAAGTTCAATATCTTAATTGTGTAGGGTGACATATCAGCCTTCTTCCTTTTCTTCTTTTTTTAAAATATATTTTGATTATGCTATTACAGTTATCCCATTTTTCCCCCTTCATTCCCCTCTGCTCTGTAGCCCCTCTCCCACCGTCATTCCCCCACCTTAGTTCATGTCCATGGGTTATATATATAAGTTTTTTGGTTTCTCCATTCCCCATACTATTCTTAACCTTCCCCTGTCTATTTTGTACCTACCATTTATGCTGCTTATTTCCTGTGCCTTTTCATCCATTCTTCCCTTTCCTGCTCCCCACTGATAACCTTCCATGTGATCTCCATTTCTGTGATTCTGTTCCTATTCTGGTTGTTTGCTTAATTTGTTGTTGTTTTTGTTCTTTAGGCTCAGTTCTTGATAGTTGTGAGTTTGTTGTCATTTTACTGTTCATAGCTGTGATCTTCTTCTTTGATAAGTCCCTTTAACATTTCATATAATAAGGGCTTGGTGATGATGAACTCCTTTAACTTGACCTTATCTGGGAAGCACTTTATCTGCCCTTCCACTCTAAATGAGAGCTTCGCTGGATAGAGCAATTTTGGATGTAGGTCCTTGCCTTTCATGACTTTGAATACTTCTTTCTAGCCCCTTCTTGCCTATAAGGTTTCCTTTGAGAAATCAGCTGACAGTCTTATGGGAACTCCTTTGTAGATAACTCCTTTTCTCTTGCTGTTTTTAAGATTCTCTCCTTCTCTTTAATTTTGGGTAATGTAATTATGATGTACCTTGGCATGTGCTTCCTTGGGTTCAACTTCTTTGGGACTCTCTGAGCTTCTTGGACTTCCTGGAAGTTTATTTCATTTGCCAGATTGGGGAAGTTCTCCTTCATTATGTTTTCAAATAAGTCTTCAAATTCTTTCTCTTCCTATTCTCCTGGCACCCCTATAATTCAAATGTTGAAATGTTTAAAGTTATTCCAGAGGTTGCTTAGCCTCTCCTCATTTTTCTGAATTCTTATTTCTTCATTCTGTCCTGATTGAATGTTTCTTTCTTCCTTCTGCTCCAAATTGTTGATTTGAGTTCTGATTTTGTTCCCTTCACTGTTGGTTCCCTGTACATTTTCCTTTATTTTACTTTTCATAGCCCTCATTTTTCCCCTACTTTGCAACCATACTCAACCATTTCTGTGAGCAACCTGATTACCAGTGTTTTGAACCCTGTATCTGATAGGTTGGCTATCTCTTCATCACTTAGTTTTACTTTTTCTGGAGCTTTTATCTATTCCTTCATTTGGGCCATTTTGGGGGGTCTTGGCACAACTGTTAGATAATAGGGGGTGGAGCCTTAGGTATTCCCCAGGGTGAGGAAACCCATGTCCCTCCATTGTAAAGCTGTATGTGAGGGAGGGGTCCAAGAGGGAACAGTGCCATTTGCTCAGCTCTCGTCCAACTTTCAGTAACTTCCTCAGCTACCCACAAGCCAATTGGGCCCTTCTGGTGCTGATTCCCAGGTGAGTGGTTTTATATACATTCTAGGACCCTGTGAGTGTCTCCAACAAACTCTCCTGTGAGGCTGTATTTCTCCATGCTGGAACCCTGGGTTGCATGGCCTGTCTTGCTCCCCAATTGTTCCTCTAGGTTTATGTGCACACAAATGTGGGACCGCCTGCTCCACCAGCCACTGCCTGGCTGCAAGCCCTCCCCAACCCAGCTGCCCATCTCTTCCCCTCTACTGGTCTGATGAATGTTTCTTCTTTACCTCTTGTGTTGTAGGACTTCCATACAGTTTGGTTTTCTGGCAGTTTGGGGGGTTTTTGTTGTTGCTGTTGTTCTTAAATTTGTTGTTGTCCTTTTGATTGTGCAAGGAGGCAAAGTGTATTTACCTACACTTCCATCTTGGCCGGAAGTACCTCTCCTTTTCCTCTAATAATGTCTCTTATTTTGCCTGGCTCACCAATAAAATAAACTGGGAGTTGAGAGAGGATTATTTTAAATGTGGATACTGGCCAAAGGAAATTACTTATGTAAAGATTTGTCTGAACTTCAGCTGAAATGATTTTAGTTACCATCATGAATAGTCATATTTAGAACTTTGATGCTTAAACCAACTGATCAGAAATCGGAAATGAGTTGGGTTGTGGCCACGTTCTTGTGGATAAATGGGAATGAGTTGTAATTTTTAAAGTATTCCATAGAGTATTCCATAAAGTGTGCAAAACCAGACAGTATATGTAGGATGGCATTCTACTTAAAATTCAGCTGTGCTAAAGTAAAGGGGATATCCTCCAAGAACTGGGATTGCAGCAGAAGCAGAGATCATCAAAGTTTCCTCCAAAGGTAGGTATGAGAAAGTAAACATGAGTGAGAAATATATACTGAATAAACAAACATCAGCATTATGTTTATGAAAAATTACAGAGTAAGATATGGAACACCTCGATTTAATGTTTTAAACATTGGAACATTTGAAGTAAAAGCAACTCCAGAGAAGGGGAAGGGAGCACAAGAGAATTTAGGTGTTTTGTCATTCTCTGTAGGTTCCCAGATGTGTGGTCTCTATAAGACAAGAACAAAAAAACATGAGGAAAGGAAAGACAATACAAAACTATTCTATAATAGAAAGAGTTGAAATGGGGGCTTGGTGAAGTTAGCAAGGCTCACAGGTTAAAAATGTAATAGTGTGATTATACATTTGTATTGCAGAAAATGAGAATGATAATTGAAAATACAGAAAAAAATAATTTATGAGAGTAAGCTAAATCTGATAAACTCTGTTGGCCTATTGAGAAGAACAAGAATGATTGATAGGGGATGAAGACTAGGAATACAGTTTAAGAAATAGAGATCTTATCTTAAGTATACATCATAATAGATGGAAAAAATAATCAAATGTATAACTTGAATAACAAAGGTTTTCTAAATAGACAAAGATAAATATATAGATGAAAATAGATCATTGTATTTGGAGAAATAAATGATAATAAGAGACTCACACATATTGTTCCACAACAAAGTTAAGTACAAAGGGAAAATTTTGAGGGAGAAAAACATAAATTTTAAGAATAGGTAACATGTAATCTAAAGGAATGAAATAACACTAGTCTCAGATTTATTTCCTGCAATAGGTATCAATAGATATACAGTAATGCACTGTTGAAAGAAAATGTTTATGACCCAATAACTCTACTCAATCAACTTGTCCGTCATGTGTGAGGACAGAAGGATATTTTAGTTATGTAAAATTTTTAAAAATGTACACTCACACTCTAGGCCCAAAATTGTTTAAGAAATAAGAAACATAAGTGACTAATTAACAAATATATGGGAAAGCAGAACAGGGAGGAAAGCAAGGGGAGACAGAAGAAAATGCATGTCAGCAGCACTACTGGTTAAGTCACTTCAGAATCAGCAAAACTAGGCATGAGAGGAAATGCTGAGTTTATTATTTCGGAGAATTTGTGGTTGAATTTTTCACCTCTTGCCATACTTTTCTTCCTTCCCCAGTCCTCCTTCCTTGGTTACTGTCTCTAAGGATAGCAAGGGAAGGAGAAAGTAAGCATGAAGAGGAAGTAAATTTGGAAGAACAAGAACATGTAGTCAATATAAGTGCAATCACCTCTTCCTAAGCTGGGTAAGGAAGTAAACATGTGTAACTGAACCACAGTAGTTAATATGAGGGTTGCAATGTGTTCATGATTCTGAAGGCTATGGCTTTAAGTCAAAGGACTAGTAATTTTGAATAGCAGTTTTTGTTATTGGTCCTTACACAGACATGGAGATGGAAAAGGGATGACAACAGTTGTGTGGACATAGGGCCAGAGTAAAATCTTTAGGCTGTTCCAAGATCTGAGGACATTGTGTTGACCACTTTCTTTACTCTTCTTTATCTACAAAAACTTGATCTACCAGTGAAGGTAACATATTTCCTGTCTCCTATACCTAAGACCCTCCCACACCTAAGTCTCAATGAGAGAGATGACAATGAGTTGACCTAGTCTTGTATTGGTGTTCCTCCATATTATTCCTATGTTGTAGTAATTCTGTTAAGGTTAAATGAGGCAATGATTATCAAGTGCTTACTAAACTGTCTGAGACAGGTTAAACAAGCATTAAAATGTAGCTCTGGTTCTTTGCCATGGAGTAAGCTGGGAGAGATTGAGCTGACGTGAATGCTTTATGTCATTAATACTCACCCCAATTCTGGCTTATTCCTCACATATTGGGTTTAAGGAACTATGATCAAACTTTAAAAAAGAATATTGCTGCCCTGGCTGGTGTAACTCAGTGGATTGAGCATGGGCCTGTGAATCAAAGGGTTGCCAGTTCGATTCCCAGTCAGGGCACATGTCTGGGTTGTAGGCTAGATCCCCAGTTGGGGATGCGTGAGGGGCAACCACACATTGATGTTTCTCTCCCTCTCTTTCTTCTTCCCTTCCTTGTCTTTAAATAAATAAATAAAATCTTTCTTAAAAATATTGCTAATTCTCTGGGAAAAGTATTAAAACTAACTTTTGCAACATAAATAATGAAAATATATACACTGAAATTTTAAGAAATTTGAATATTTTGCTTTCTCTATTCTCTCTCAACATAGTTACATATTTGGTTTCTAAAATAAAACCTTTAGACTCATGTTGTTATTATTATCATTGTTATAATTTGTTGGGATCCATTCTGCCTGGTTTCAGGAGCTGTAACCCCACCATGGCTAAGGCTGAGTGAGCGACCTTCAGACAAGAAGCCACTAAGGAGACAAAGCTTATCTCCCTGGCAGGAGCTCCGCTTCTCCTCCTTTTTCCATAACTGGCCCCCAATGCTTGATCAGTTAGCCAATGACAGGTAAGATTCCCCAAGGGGGGAACAACCTAAGGCAGGCATGATCACATGGAGGCCCCAGGGAAGGACTTGGGGGACTATGGAGAAAGGGGGTGATGGACCCCCACCGCTCGACTTTGACAGAGCCTGAGTCCTCATTCTATCTGCTAGAGGTCTCCTAATCTCTTGGCTGCCTTGCTTCCTCTGCCTGACTCAAGCTTAAAACAATGACAGAGGGTGGTGCAGCCCTGTGCTGGAAAGGGCAGGTTCCCCAGGTAATCAGGCCTGAGAATGAATACATAAACTCCTTTGACACCTACTTTGCTAAAAATACTCTCAATTAAATGATAAAGGTCCAAGCAGGAAATGAGTTTGTTTCCCAAAGTTTTATAGCCCCTTAGCTAACAGACTCTGACTCAGAATAGGCCCTAGTAGTTCTTTGTATGCTATCCATTGTTTGATCCTTACTGCCTGACAATGATTAATGAGTTTTACCTGTATTCCTGTGCAAACGAACCCAATAAAAACCTATCAAGGGAAGGATCAGGGTGACCTCCCCTTGAGAGGGTAGCCATGCCATCCCTTTTCCTCCACAGGACTTGGTAGTCCGTGTGAATGTCTTATGTCATCCACAATGCCGCAGACACCGCAGGCCATGTTGACATCGATAATTATTTTTTTCTTTAGGTTTTCCATTTCTCTATCAAGAATTATTTATTACATTCAAGTGCTTTTTGTAACCTTAGTCAAAGCAATTATTTAGATGCAATTCCCATGTTTAATTAGTTTTAAAGCTCTTTGTAATCCCTTCAATATTTTTTCTAGATTACATCTTTTAATTACAATTGAAATTCAGTATTATATTAGTTTCTGGTGTACATCATAGTGGTTAGACATTTATATAACTCCCAAAATTATTCCCGTGGTAAGTTTACTACTCCTGACACCAAACATCATCATTACAGTATCATTAACTCTATTCCTTATGCTGTACTTAACATACCCAGGACTATTTTGCAACTATCAATTTATAGTTATTGATTTCTTCACTTTTTCACTCAGTCTCCCAATCCCACTCCCCTCTGACAACCATTAGTCTGTTCTCTGCATCTATAAGTCTGTTTCTATTTTGTTTGTTCTTTTATTTTGTTTTTTAAATTCTGCATATAAGTGAAATCAAATGGTATTTGTCTTTCTATGTCTGATTTATTTCACTTAGCATAATACCCTCTATGTCCATCCATACTGTAGCAAATGGTAAGATTTTATTCCTTTTTATTGCTCACCTCCATTTTTGTTAAGTTCTTTTTCTGGAATTTGTCCTGTTCTTTCATTTGGGGCTTGTCTCCTCATTTTGACTGCCTCTTTCTTTTTATGTGTTAGATCTGCTACATTTCCAGTTTTGGCATGATGGCCTTATGTTATAGGTGTCCTGTGGGCCCTAGTGACACAGTCTCCCTGGTCATCTGAGCCAGGTGCTCCAGGAGTGTCTCCTGTGTGTGCTGCATGTACCTTCTTGTTGTAGTTGATCCTTGACTGCTAATAGCACATAAAACTGTCCCTCAGGTTAACTGCTGTGAGTACTGACTGTGACTTCAGTGAGTGACCTGTTGTGTAGAGAATCACACAACAGAGCGGAATTTGTTGTAGTTGAAGCTCTGGTGCCTGCAAAGTCCACCCCTTGAGTGTGTCATTTGTGGAGCCAATTGGGTGATACTGTGGTACATCCTGAAATGGATCACCAAGTGTTAGTCCTGGGGCCTCTTGGTAGTGGCTCCAGTGCAGGTCTAGGTCAGCCACTGCCTGTGCCTGGACTGGGGCCACCTGGTAGTAGCTACAAAGTTATCTGCAGTTGATAGCTGCCTGTGCTAGATGTAGAGTCTCCAGGGAATGGCTATGCTGTGAACCAAGTTTGACTGCTACTAATGCTAGGCTGGGGGCCACTTAGCAACTAAAACAAGGCATGCAGAGGCCAGCTGCAGCTTTTGGAAGGTTTGTAGACCTTTCATAGATTTAGCAAAGTCTACAACCCAGTCTGGGGCTGGCCACTTATGAGAAACAGCTGCTGAAAAAGGTTCTGGCCTATGTGGAAGTTGGGTGGAGCAAGTTTCAGGGAATTACCAGGGTTGGAAAAGTTTGATGAAGGTTCAGATTTGGTGCCTACCTGTGCATGCAGGCCTGGTCATAGGAGGGCTCTGCAAAGAAACAATGGTGCCAGCCAGCTGGCTCTGTTGAGAGGAAGGCTCAAGAACTGTCTCTCCAGCCCTCACCATGAAGCCAGACAGTTCAGTTCTTCCCTGTATGTCCTCAATGCTTTTCTTTTCTTTTTTTTTAATATTTGTTTATTATTTAATTGAATTTATTTGAGTGGCCTTGGTTAATAAAATTATACATGTTTCAGGGGTACAATTCTATATTACATCACCTACATATTGTATTGTGTATTCTCTACCCTAAGTCCTGGTGCATTTTGAGCTGCTGTCCAACATTGGAGCTCAGAGCAAGTGTCTCTCTCAGTGAGTAAGTCTGTACATGAGCCCTTTAAAAAAAAGTCCTGGGACTCTGGAAGCTCTCCATCTCTGCTAGAAGAATCCTCACTGATTTTTTACAAACATGTCTTGTGGGTAATTCTCTCCCCAGCACTGCTTGTCCAGATTGGGGGCCCAGTGTAGAGCTAGGTCCCATTGCTCCTCAGTTGGGACCTCTGTAGCTAAGATATCTCTGTTGAATCTGAACAACCACATGTGGGTGTGAGACCAGCCTGTTTTGTGTCTCTCCCTCTCCTACCATTCTCTAAATGGCTTCTTCTTTGTAATATTAGTTATAAGAGTTCCATTCAGATAGTCTTTGGGTGGTTCTCAAGGGTACTCACTCTATAACATAGTTGTAATTTTGATATAGTCTGAGAAGGATATGAGTATAGAACTTACCTACTCCACAAAGAAGGCTTCAGGGCCATACCCTGGGTGGGGCGGCAGTTGCTGGCATGGACACTACTGGAGAAATTGGAGAGCCAGGTGATACCTGGAGCTTGGAGAAGAGATGGGCAGCAACTGGCCATGATCCAGATAGACTCTGGGCTGGTCAGAGAGTTGGACTCTGTGGAAAGCCAGGCGCTTGTTAGGAGAAGCAGGTGGAACCCAAGGGGACTTTTCTCAGAAAAAGAACTGAGCAGCCTTGCAGGGACATCACATGATCAGGAACCTCACATGTGCAGCGGCCGGGCCAGTGAAGAAGGAGGAGTGGGGTGCAATTTGCTCCTACTCAGGTTGCCTCACTAACTGATCAAAGGGTGCAGCAGGGGCTCAGAGGGAGTGGTTCCCAGAGAGACTTCTTCCAGTAGCAGAACAAATACGTTGTGCAGGGACCTTGTGCACTCAGGGACCTTGCCCACTCAGGAGCCAGGCCAACAAAGGGGGACGGCACGATTTGCTCGCACTCAGTGCACCTCACAGACTGATCAAAGGGTCGCAAAACAAAGTGAATTTTCAGAACTGGCCTAGCACAAATGTGCAGAGTAGATAGTGTGGGCAACACAGTTCTCTGGGGGCGTGGGCTAGAAACTGGGCACCTGTGATTATTGTAGCCAAGACTGAGCCCCAATCCTTGCTGAAGAACAGGAAAGGAAAATAACAACAAGCAAGCAAAATATAACCAGAGATATTGAAATTAAGAACAATCTGACAGTAGTCAGAGGGGAGGTGGGAGGGGATAATGGAGGGGAGGATTTTCAGTAACAACTATAAAGGACACATGGACAAAACCAAGGGGCGGGGAGTGGAAGCAGGGGAGGGAGGTGGGGATGGCTGGGGTGGGGGGGTGGGGGGGGTAAGTGCAGACAACTGTAATTGAACAACAGTAAAATAATTTATAAAACAAAGTGTAATTGAAAAATAAGATTGAAAAAAGAAGACAAGCAAGGAAGTTTCCTTTGCAGTGAAATGTTGCCCTTAAAATTTTTATAGTAAAATCAGTATTTATATATTTTTAAAAAAGAAAAAGAAAATAATGGATCCCAGCCCCTCTGCCTGCAGGATCTGGGAAGATCTGCAAAACTGGTTTGGAAGGTGTAAAATCAGCAGGAGGCTTTTATTTCCCCAAGAATAGGACAACAAGACCTAGAGCTGTGTGAAAACAGAGACAGATCCAGAAAGTAGTCAGAAAGCAAACACCAACAGCTCAGACAAATTTCATTTTGCTGTCTTTCAGAACTTGCATGTTTTTAAAATTTCTCTTCTTTCTGTTTATTTAGTTTATATTGTTTTGCTTGTTTGATTTGTTTTCTATTATTTCATATTGCATTTTAATTTTTCTTCTTTCACGTCACTCATATTCCAAATAACACACTACTCTTAGTCTTTTACTTTTTATTTTTTTTAATTCAGATTATGTATTTCTTATCATACTATTATTCCACATCCCACACAGCACCCTTCCCTGGTCTTAATCCATTTTGCTATCTCCCTGAGCTTTATCACTGTTGTGGTTAACTTCATTCACTCATATACTAAGCCAAGTTTCTATCCTTTACTCTTATTATTTCTCCTCTATCTAATCTCACCATAAGAGTTCTTCTTTCTTAAGTCAGCTCACATTCTTTTTTCTTTCTAAGAAGAGTCTTATTTCTTTTTCACCTCATATAAACAATGGGTAGTTGGGTGAAATATCACAGTTATTGATATAATTCTCCAAAGGAGAATTTGTTCGCTACTTGTTTGTACTTTAAAGTCCATAGAATACTCTCCTTCTGTCTTACCCCATTTCACCTTCACCCTGCCCATGATCAGTTGAGTACAGTATTTTATTTCATTGTTTTCTCTCTTCCTCTTTTTTCTTTTCTTTCTTTATTCCCCCTCTCTCAACCTAGACTTTACTCCTTACTCTTATTAGTTTGCTTCTGCCATCCTCTCAAAATATTTTTTCTTTATTGTAAACATCTCATATTTACTTTTTGCTTTTCTACAATATTCTTATTCCCGTTCCACCTCTATTAAACTTTATTCAGCTGTCACTGCTATCAACCCTGCTGTGGTTTTTTGGCAATTTTGCTTCTGTTGGTCCTGTACCTTTTCAATTGTACTTCAAACCTTATAGTATACTCTTCCTTGTTCTTACCTCATTGTTCCCATAGCCCTTTTGTATTTTATTTACATTGTAAATTTTGCTCTCTCCCTTTCTTCACTTTGGTTCTATCCTAACTCTTATCAAATCTCCTACCTCTCACCACACAACAATATTTTCTCCTCTTTTAGTCATTTTATATTTTCTTTGTCATATCATATAATATCTGAAATCTCCCTTCACCTTTATTAATCTTAGTTCAGTTGTAGTAGACTGCTGATGTGCAAGGGGGGTTCTTTTTGCTGGCATATATTTGGTAGTCTTGTAATACTGCTTTGTTAACCAGCACCTGAACAGTAGCATACAAGACAAGGTGGGAGTTGTGAATACCAGTAAGCCTGCTGGAGAAGAGACCACACCACCAAAGAGGCCACCAACAAGTAAAGCCCAATTACAACAAGAGAGCCTATATAAATGGAAGAAAGGGCAACCCTAAACCATCCAGACAAGGAGATTGAAGAGACCAAATCGTTGAGTCCCACAGAACTCCTACCATAGAAGTTCACCCTACAAAGACAGCTGGCAAAGTAGAGCATCTGGATTTGCAGAAACAAACAAAAAGAGTCACCTAAAATGGAGAGACAAAGAACCCACAATCAAAAGGAATAGAAGATTCCCCAGTAAAAGAACTAAATGAAATGGAGGCAAGCAAGCTATCTGATATAGAATTCAAAAGAATGGTTATCAGGATACTCAAGGAACTCACTGACAACTATAAGGAGCTGAGTGGGAACTACAACAGTATGAAAATAGAAATTATAAACAAAAACCAAGAAGAAATGAATAATACAATATCTGAAATAAAAAAATACACTAGAAGGAATTACAATCAGGCTGGATGAAGTAGAGGACTGAATTAGTGAGCTGGAAGACAAGGTAGAAAGAAATACCCAGACAGAGCAACAGCATGAAAAAAAGACTAAAAAAAATGAAGATAGCTTAAGAGAACTTCAGGACACAGAGACATAACAACATTCGAGTCAAGGAATACAGGAGAAGAAAATGGGCAAGAGATGGAAAACCTCTTTGAAAAAATAATGAAAGAAAACTTTCCTAACCTGGAGAAGGGAAAATCCACAGAAGTCCAGGGACACAGAGGATCTCAATCAAGAAAAACCCAAACAGGCCTACTCCAAGACACATCATAATTAAAATGCTAAATTTTAAAGACAAAGAGGGAATCTTAAAAGCAGCAAGGGAGAAACAAGAAGTAACATACAAGGGAGCTCCAATAAGGCTAGCAGCTGATTTCTCAACAGAAACACTACGAACCAGAATGGAATGGCAAGAAATATTCCAAGTAATGAAAAGCAAAGGCCTGAAACCAAGACAACTGTACCCAGCAAGGCTCTCAATTAAAATCGAATGTGACATAAGGAATTTCCCAGACAAAAGAAAGCTCAAAAAATATACCTCCACCAAACCTTCAAGGGATGCTAAAAGGACTGCTTTAAGAAGAGAGAGAGAGAGGAACACAAGTACACAGGAGGAAATATGCAAAGTACTTAATAATAATCTTAAATATAAATGGATTAAATACTCCAATTAAAAGACATAGGGTAGCTGAATGGATAAGAAAACATAACCCACGTGTATGCTGCCTACAAGAGACCCACCTCAGAGCAAAAGACCTACAGACACTGAAATGAAGGGTTGGAAAATAATATTCCAAGCAAATGGACAGGGAAAAAAGCTGGTGTAGCAGTACTTATATCAGACAAAATACTTCAAGACAAAGGCCATAAAAAGAGACACTGAAGGACACTTCATGATGCTCAAGGGAAGAATCCATCAAGAAGACATCAGCAGTATAAACATATATGCATCCAATATAGAGAACCCAAATATGAAAAGAAAATCTTGGAGGACTTCAAGAAATATAGAGACAGCAACACACTTATACTAGGGGATTTTAACACCCCACTATCAACAGTAGATCTTCCAAACAAAATTTCAACAAAGATACTGAGGCATTGAACAATGCCCTAGATCAAATGGACTAAACTGATATATATAGAGCCTTTCATCCCAAAGAAGCAAAATACACATTCTTTTCAAATGCACATGGAACATTTTCAAAGATAGACCACATGATAGGACCCAAAACAAGCCTATCATGAAAGCCAATGAATAAATTCAGGAAAATTGAAATCATATCTAGCATTTTTCTGGACCACAAGTGACTAAAACTAGAAACCTACCTCAAGGAAAAAACTCAAAAACATTCAAAGTCATGGAGACTGAATAACATGCTTTTAAACAATGAACGGGTTAACCATGAGATCAGGAGAGAAATCAAAAAGTTTCTGGAAACAAATAAAAATGAACACACAACAACCCAAAACCTATGGGACACAGCAAAGCAGTCCTGAGAGGGAAGTTCACAGCAATATAGTCCTACCTAAAAAAGATAGAAAAATCTCAAATAAACAACCTAACCATACATCCACAAGAGCTAAATGAACAACGAAGACAGCCCAGAACAAGTAAAAGGAAGAAAATAATCTTGATCAGAGCAGAATTAAATGACATAGAGACTAAAAATAATTCAAAGGACCAATAAATCCAGAACCTGGTTCTTGAAAAGATAAACAAAATGACAAACCTTTAACCAGAATCATTAAGAAAAATAAGAGAAGGGACCCAAATAAATAAAATCAGAAAAGAAAGAGGAGACATTATAACTAATATCACAGAAATACAAAGGATTGTAGGAAATTACTATGAACTATATGCCAAGAAATTTGACAAACTGGGTGAAATGGACAAATTTCTAGAAACATACAGTCTTCCTAAACTGAATCAAGAAAAAGCAGAAAGCCTGAATAGACAAATAACAACTAGAAAAATTGAAGCAGTAATCAAAAAACTCTCAGCACACAAAAGCCCTAGACCAGACAGTTTCACAGAAGAATTACAAAACATTTCAGGAAGAACTAACCTCTATCCTTCTCAGACTATTCCAGAAAATTCAAGAA